GGATCTCTGTGAGTTCGAGACCAGCCTGATCTACAAGAGCTAGTTCCAGGACAGGCTCCAAAACAATACAGGGAAAACCTGTCTCGAAAAACCAAAAAAGAAAAAGAAAAAAAAAAAAACAAAAACAACAACAACAAAAAGAAAAAACCTTAGGTTAAAATGTCAAGTTCAGCGGCATCGACTGCGGTCGTCATATACACTGTCCATTTCTTAGTAGTTTTTTTGATTACCGGCTGTTACACGATAACTCACACTACTCTGCTATTCTAGACCATTTTGTATTTTTCTTGCTCAGGAAGGCCGGACCCTTAGTCCTTAGTTTGCTGGCTCTAGAATGTTATATGAGTTGGATCGTTTGCTCTTTTGTGTCTGGCTTATTTAACTTCTCACAGTAGCTTCAAGGTTCATCCATATTGTGAAATTCATACATCAGAATTTGTTCCTTTGAGAGGTTGAGTCATAGCCTTTGCACATCGTATACATTTATTCAAGGATGAGTATTTGGCTTGTTCCCACCTTTTGGGTTTGTAATGGTGCTGAGAACATCGGCTGCAGATACATGCTTGAGTCCCTGCTTTCAGTTCTTTGGCATAAGTATATTTAGAAGTGGAGGACTTAACCTTTCTACATATTAAAGCAGCAGCTCCTGCATTGTGGATGTCAAGTGTTGGGCACTAGTGAGTGCTTAATGCTTAGACTTAGATTTCCTTGCTAGTTCTCTGCCTCTTAGTATTCCAAGTGTAGTGACAGAAACAACTTAGCATGTTTTCTCCTTAGGAAACTGCCTGTGACACAGTTTAGGGTTCCATCAGTGTGTTGTTGTTGCCTGGGTGTGCATCAAATGGTACAACCAGTGTTCTGTAAGTTTTCATTAACATCTAGTGAAGGATTAGTGGTAGAGTGTTACTTTTTAAGTTCTTGGAAGTTTAATTTGACTTTTTTGTTGTTGTTTGTTTTCGAGACAGGGTTTCTCTTTGTAGCTTTGGCTCCTATCCTGGTAGTCGCTCTGGAGACGAGGCTGGCCTCGAACTCACATAGATCCGCCTGACTCTGCCTCCCGAGTGCTGGGATTAAAGGCGTGCGCCACCAACGCCTGGCTTGGAATTTTAATTTGTATGATACGCATTTATCTATGCACTTGAGGTCAACTTCCAGGGAATCAGTTTCCTCCTTCCATAATGTGTGACTGGGATCAAACTCATCAGACTTGGCCATCTTGCCTCCTCAGATTCTTGGAACTTTAAAGGGAATTGCCTGCTTGAGTGTTAATTATGTTTTGTCTTGTGGGCAGCCTAGGTAAGTATAAGGAAGGGAATTTCCATAGTATCTAAATAATCCTTTAGCTTATTTCCTGTTTATATACCCCTATGCCAGTTGACAGTTCGAGAAGCTATTAATCAAGGTATGGATGAAGAACTAGAAAGAGATGAAAAGGTATTTCTGCTTGGTGAAGAAGTTGCCCAGTATGATGGTGCATATAAGGTAACTGAAATAGGTAAACTTGATATAGAATTAAAAAGTACCCATTTGCCCTGATAAGCACTTGTAAGTCATGGGGTTAAATTCTAATTGTAGGTTAGCAGAGGCCTATGGAAAAAATACGGTGACAAGAGGATCATAGATACTCCCATATCAGAGGTACGCTTTCCAGACCAGCTTTGAGAATCGAGTTGAGTATTCAGTTTTAATTTCTGTGGATGTTTTCTTACGTTGCTGTTTGCTTTACAGATGGGCTTTGCTGGAATTGCTGTTGGTGCAGCTATGGTATGTACTATTATTTATGAAGGTCATCTAAGGAGATTTCCTTTAATACTATCTTCTGAAAATGTTGTTTGAGCTGGACATGGTGGCACTCACCTTTAACCTAACCCCAGCACTTGGGAAGCAGAGGATAGCCAGGACTACATAGAGAAATCCTGTTTTAAAAAACCAACAAAAAAAAAAAAAGAAAAAGAAAGAAAATATTGTTTGTAATACTGGAAAAGTGGAGTGGTTATTCAGCACTCTTGCTTGTTCTGTTTAGTCTTTTTAACATTGATGTTTCTACTTGACAGGCTGGGTTGCGGCCTATCTGTGAATTTATGACCTTCAACTTCTCTATGCAAGCCATTGACCAGGTTATAAACTCAGCTGCTAAGACTTACTACATGTCTGCTGGCCTCCAGCCTGTGCCCATAGTATTCAGGGGGCCCAATGGTGCCTCAGCAGGTGTAGCTGCTCAGCACTCACAATGCTTTGCTGCATGGTATGGGCACTGCCCAGGTTTAAAAGTGGTCAGCCCCTGGAATTCCGAGGATGCAAAAGGACTTATTAAATCGGCCATTCGTGATGATAATCCAGGTCAGCATAATAACATTAAAAACTGACATGAACTCTTGCATATGAGGATCAAGGCATCTAGTGAGATGTAGCACAGCATATGAAAAGTGCTAATGACTTATAGACAATAAAAAGTATGCTATTCCTTCTCACTGTAAGGTGCTGGTTACTTACTGTGCACCCACACCATTAACCTTAGCATATACAATTATATTGATCAAACTGCATGTGTCAGCATGGAACCCATCCTAAAGCTTCTAGACTGAAAGAGACAAGACTTCTTAGTGTTCAGAAGATTAATGATTTCATTGTATATGCATTTCTAGTCATTTTGTCTGTAGTATTTTTTGTTTATTTATTTGAGAACTTATAATGTCTTGCAGTGGTGATGCTAGAGAATGAACTAATGTATGGAGTTGCATTTGAACTTCCTACAGAAGCTCAGTCAAAAGATTTTCTGATTCCTATAGGAAAAGCCAAAATTGAAAGGCAAGGTAAGAATCCTTAGTATACATTAACCATTATTTTTACTGTAGCTCTTGTGTTTGCATATGTCAGAAGTTACTGCCTTGTAATTTGACTTAAAAAGTAAAGGATAAATGAGCTCAAGTTAGGCTTTGCTGAATCCCGTCTGTCTGGTACATGTTTCTTTCTTTCTTTTTTTTTTTTTTCCAGCCAAGGTTTCTCTGTGTAGCTTTGGAGCCTATCCTGGCACTCACTCTGGAGACCAGGCTGTCCTCGAACTCACAGAGATCCGCCTGCCTCTGCCTCCCGAGTGCTGTACATATATATTTCATGTCCAGGAATACAACCTCATTGTTTAGCTCACTGAAATAAGGTGAAGGTTTGATAAGAGCTATAGCTGGCTGCAGAATCACCAGTGCTACATTAGTTCCATTGACCTCTAATCTGTGACCACTGTATTTCAGGGACACACATCACTGTAGTTGCCCATTCAAGACCAGTGGGCCACTGCCTAGAAGCTGCAGCGGTACTGTCTAAGGAGGGAATTGAATGTGAGGTAAGTGGACAGACACACACACACACACACACACACACACACACACACACACCTGGGTCTTTTAATAACTTCTCAAGACACACACACACACACACTGGGTCTTTTAATAACCTTCTCAAGATCCAGTCTTGCTGGTCTGGGGAGATAGCTTGCTAAGCAAGCATGAGGACCAGAGTTTGGATCCATCCCAGCACTCAAAAAGAAACAAAAACCAAACAATCCAAGCATGACAGCATGAGCTTGTTATCCCAGCCCTGGGGAAGCATTGCTAGGAGGATGTCTGGTGCTTGCTAGCCTTGCCAGCCAGTCTAACCAATTAGTTAGCTCCAGATTCACTCTTTCTTTCTTTCTTTTTTTTTTTTATAAAGATTATACAGTGTTCTGCCTGCATGTATGCCTGCAAGACAGAAGAGGGCACTAGATCTCATAAGGGATGGTTTGAGCCACCATGTGGTAGCTGGGAATTGAACTCAGGACCTCTGAAAGAGCAGCCAGTGCTCTTAACCTCTGAGCCATCTCTCCAGCCCAAAAGAGCAATTGCACAAGAAACCTGAGGTCATCCTCTGACTCCTCACATGTGTGTACATACACAATCACATATCACAAGATCCAGTCTTAGAGCTGGACTTCAAAAGTAACCGAATCTGCGTAGAACCTACCAAGTAGTTCTCCTTGGAAAGTGTTTCATAAGCTATAAAATGAGGATAATAGAACTTCTACTCCATGGGGTATGATGGTGTAGGGCCTGGTGTACACTAAGCACTCAACTATTTTGATAGATGGTGAAACCAAGGAGGGTGAGCAAAGCTTCCTGTGATGGGAGTACAGCTTTCTATTTTATGAGTTCATTTACTTTTTAAGACAAGGTCTTGTGTATAGCCTACATTGTCCTCAAACATGATCATCCTGCCTCAGCCTCCCAAGTGTCAGGATTACAAGTCTGCACTACTATACTGTTTTTCCTTTTAGTCTCTGATTGTGTACCCATTGATAGGTGGGTTCAATTTCCTAGATCCAGAGATTAGCAAAAACAAAAAGAGGGATGTTTTGGGGTCAAGGCTGTATTTGTCTTTTGGATCCTATAAAGCCTATTTACCTAATTACTGCATTGTCTTTAGGTGATAAATTTGCGTACTATCAGACCAATGGACATTGAAGCCATAGAAGCCAGTGTCATGAAGACAAATCACCTTGTAACTGTGGAAGGAGGCTGGCCACAGTTTGGAGTGGGAGCTGAGATTTGTGCCAGAATCATGGAAGGTATTTCAAAGAAACTTATTCTAGGATACATCAAGCTGCAGTAAACAGCATACTTGAAAAGATCAAGCTAGGGGTGACCAAATGACTTTTTTTTTTTTGAGACAGGGTTTCTCTGTGGCTTTGGAGGCTGTCTTAGAACTAGCTCTTGTAGACCAGGCTGGCCTCAAACTCTCAGAGATCCACCTGCCTCTGCTTCCCAAGTGCTGGGATTAAAAAGGCATGTGCTACCACCATCTGTCGACTGAACAACTTTCAATTTGTCAGTCTAGGGTTTTTGTCTTCAGGTAAATGTTTGAGGAAGTCAAGTCAAAAGAGTGCCCTATAACTAGGGTTCATTGATTACCTTGTTTTCTCTTCCCGAGTCCCAAATCAGCCTCTCAAGGTGAGCCTTCTCTTCCCCAGGCCCTGCATTCAATTTCCTTGATGCTCCTGCTGTTCGTGTCACTGGTGCTGATGTCCCTATGCCTTATGCAAAGATCCTAGAAGACAACTCCATACCTCAGGTCAAAGACATCATATTTGCAGTAAAGAAGACACTGAATGTCTAATTTGGACTTTGAATATCAAGTCATTGAAATTTCTTTAAAATACTTCTTGGGGTTTTTTCTGATGTGTACTGAGAAACTTTCCTAGTTATAAAGTCAATGCTAAAGCAGCAGCAGGTGTCTCTGTACTGATAAGAAGCTTAAATATGCTTATGAGTGGAAAACTCCACTTCCCGCGGTAGATGCTATACTTTCTTTGTCTGTTACGGTTGGTCTAGTCTTTGAGTAAGATTAATATAAATATTTTCCCTCTTTTACTACAAGGGGCAAGAATGTTGCAGAGTCCTGATGAAAGATATACCCCCAGAAGATACATGTTTAAAAAGTATATTATCTACATTTGCTTTAAGTTGTTTTGATAAGGAATAAAGGGGATTTCTACCTATGAGTAATCATGCGCCCCCCCCCCCCCAAGGTTTCTCTATGAACAGTTCTGGCTGTCTGGGTACTCACTTTGTAGACCAGGCTGGCCTCAAACAGAGATCTGCTTGCCTCTGCCTCCCAAATGTTGGGATTAAAGGCATGTGCTCAGCTGACACCACTGTTGTAATCCAGGCAAACCTGGTCCTGCCTCTCACTCACCTGCACATGGCAGGTGTATACACCCTGGATCTTTAAACTTCACCTACTTCCATTCTCTTTCCTGCTGTTTCCCGTGGGGCAGAAAGGACTTTTGCTGTCCCTCTTCTCTTCTGTCCTCTCTCTCTTTACCTCTTTTCTCCCCCACCCCCTTCCTTCCCTTTCTAATAAAACTTCTCATTTAAGCTGTCTGCCTGGCGTGTGTGTCCCTCCGCCCCAGTCACCCTCGCCTGCCATGGGATTCGCCAAGGTTCTCCTCCTGCTTTATCATAACCACCACCCGGGGAATAACTATTATTATATTAGTGAAATAATGGATGTGGAAGTCTTGGAGTACTATTAAGAAATTTGTGTTAAATGGAAAATAACTTGATATACTGTATAAAGCCTCCTTAGTTTTTGGAAGGATTTCACTGTATTTCCTGGCTGGCCCAGAGCTATTTAGACCAGGATCTCCTAGAGATCCACCTGCCTCTGCCTCCCAAGAGCTGCCACCCCACCTGGCCCTCATTGAAAGTGTTTTTGTTTTTGTCTTTACATTTCCAGGACCATAAGCATGTTAGCCGAGTGCTCTACCACACCCCCAGACCCTATTTGCTTTTATTCATATATCTGAAACTACCCAAAACTGAAAAACCTGAAAGCAGAAGTGCTGGGATCCAGGTTTCCATCAGTGGTCACTAGTCAACACAGCACTTATACAGCCTCACAATTCATTTATTTCCTTTTTTGTTTTTTTGAGGCAGGTCTCATTGGCTTCAGATTCATTAATTAGTAGAGGATGATGACCTTGAGATTTTAACTACCTACCTCCACCTCCCAAGTGCTATAGACACAGCACCATGCTTAGTTGATACAGTGCTATATAAGCACTGTGCCAACTGACTTACATCCCCAGCACAGTATCTTTTGAAATGAAAAAGGTTGATGTCAGGTGCTTCTCACAGTGCCAAAACCAGATATGTCATATATGAGCCTTTTTAGAACTTGGTGGAAAGGATTGGTTTAAACAAGTTATGAAAGCATACACTGATGGTTTCTACATAATGAGGGTTATTAGCAATTACAAAGGAGGTAAGGTGACAGAAGGAGGGAGTATACTTTGAGATTACATTTCTTCACAAAATATACTGTAGAAGTTCTCATCTGAAATATCTAGCAAAGTCACAACATTTTCTTCACATGATTTATTTTAATACAAAATACAGCTGAGTATGTATCACAGATTACAATACTATATACAATGACATTCTTTCTGCATAGTAACCAACACTGATGTGTGTATTTGAATTTTAAAATGGATTTTTTTAATAATCCTTTAAAGTGCAACTTATTTAAAGGTTTAAGCAAATCACAGAATGAAAGATTTCTAATATCTGAGTAACATCAAAAAAGATGCTGAAGTTGGATAAATCAAATCAGAAGTGATCACCATAGATGCCAGATTCACTTGTAATGCTGACTCTCCCTCTACAAATGCTGAGGAGTAAGACAATACCTTAACTGGCAGGAGCTTTTTCTGTGGTTAATGTTTTTGTTTGTTTTGGTACATTCTAACTTAAGAAAACTATGAATCCAGCGTGACTGTTCTCAGCCACAGTGAGATTCCCTCTGTCCTGTGAAAGAGAATGAAGAGAGCTCTTGCTTCTCTGCCTCAGCAGTGTGACAGCCTTGGTTACAGTGTTAGTGTCTGAGGTGAACTACCTAAGAAACCAGAGAAGCTTCAGAGGAGTGAGCTAGGAGAACACTTCTGATAGAGTAGGAGGGACAGCCATAGACCAGTCACTGCTGTGACAGAATATTGCCACTGCTTTTGTCTTTGTCATTTTCCTTTAGCTGGTGAAAATAATGATTCCCATATGCTGCTGTTCCTAAAGGAAGCTCATCAGAGTCACACGAAGGAGCAAAATGTTAAGGCAGCAGTGCTGGCCCCATTTATTTATTTGGAGAGCATTTTCATCTTGAAGACTCTTACTGAAGCAAGACTGGCTGTACTGGCTCTGCAAGGACTCACCCCAGGAAGGGACTTGTTGGGGGCTATGTAAGGACTCACCTAGGAAGAGGGACTTAGGTGGGAGTGGAACAGCCAAGAGCTTGCCCTCCCAGTGTAAACAAGAAACGTCAGCCAATCTTAGGAGCACTGTGATCACAGGTTTTGGCTTTCTTCAAAGTTCCCTTTTGGAAATTCTGGATGGAGCTGAGCAAGGCCCCACGGTTCACGCCATTCATATCCTGGGGCAGTAGCGGGACAGGCATCTCTGTGCCTGAGGTTGTTGAGGGACCTGCTGGTGGAGGCGGAGGTGGTGGTGGAGGTGGAGGTAATGCAGAAGACAGCCCTGTAGAGGAAAACGGAGGTCAGTGCTCACCATTCAACCTGCCCTGCATGCTACTGCATGTGGAGCTCAGAGGACAAGGTGTGGCAGAGTCAGTTCTACCATGCAGGTCCTAGAGACTACTCAGGTTGTTAAGGCTTCAGGGGCCTGCACCTTTACCTGTGGAGCCATCTAGCCAGTCCCTAAATTTCGTTTTGTTGTTAAAGTTTTGTTCTTCCTTTAAATCACTAGGTAAACTGTTGTTTCCAAAGTAGTGAAACATCACTGCCATACTAATGTGTGTCAGTTATGAACATTGTGGTCTTCTAAGACCCTACTTATCTGTTATTACCACACTGCTATGAGCAGCAGGAATAACAGGCAAGACACCTTGTCCACAAATAGAGATGAAGGATGAATGGCTCAAGGTCACCAATAAAATACTCAGTTATCTCCTTTCCACTAAGCAATGGCCAAAGTCTTGCAATTCACAAAACCCACTTACCTTCTTTTATACCTTTACCCCAACCCAAGGCAGCTGAAATTAAAGAATCACACAGATGCAAACTCATGCTCTACAAGCATGGAATTCTCAATGATAGCATAGCAATACGTAAAGATTAAATACAGACAAATGAATACAACGTAATTTACATTGGTTTTGCTCAACGATGAATGAAATTCAATTAGCTTTTATGTAAGATGGATTGTGGAAGACATTCCTGGCTTTCCATTACAGGGTTATAATGGGCAGTAACCTTTAAGTGACTACTGAGGTACGAAGCCCAGGTGGAGTAAGGGTAGATGCATTGCACTTGAGGCATTTGAGTAATGACAGTGAAATGCTAGAGTGCGGGAGGGCTCTCTTGAAGCTCTGGAAACTGAGTCTCTCCACTGATAGCATGCAGCCACAGGAATAAGCTCTGCCCATGTGGGATAAATAGCTATTGATAACCCACACATTAGGTACTATCCTAATGGCCAGAGAAGGGCAGTAGAAAATAGGAGTTTCAGGGTCAGTTTTGTGCCCAGACTCCTAGCTGAAGAATCACTGCAGGATTAAGGCTCAAAAGATAGGTTTGGAATGCAACAGCACTGGGGACTACTGCATGCCTGAAACTGACCATCCTGAGACTGGCTGCCCTACAGTCTAGGGTTTAGGAAGGCTAGAGAAAGCCCTAGAGGCTTGAATTCATGAGTATGGGTAGTAGCCTTGACAGCTTGTTTTCAGAGAACTAACCCCTTGACTCTGGCCTCACAACCTCACATGTACTTCCAGAGTTTAGGAAACGATGAGCCTGAAACTATCCCTAAGTGAAAGCTAGAGGTTGGTTGTATCAATATAGCATCTAAAATATTACACCTGTATAGCAAACAGAAGAGGGGGCTGTGTGAGAAGTGGAGCTGCTCATTCCAGTGGGGGAAAAGTAAACACCCTGAAGCCTGCTCACAGGGAGCTGGACTATATAGTCCCAAAGGGCCTGGTGTATACACTTAAGGCACAGAGAGCTAGAACTCAACCTCCAGGGGATACTGTAAATTGAGGAGAGACCCTTAGAACCAAAAGGGCAAAACTGGAAGAGGCAGGAACATAATAGGAGCTTGATCTCTGAGAATAAGCTCCATCCCTTCATTGTCTTTGGTCATTTAAAGAGACTAACAGGTTAGTGAGTATAAGATAGGACCATTAGTAACAATGTCGAGAAAGGAAAGGAAGAGACAGAGAACAAACACAAGCTGACAATTTGTCCTGTGACAAACCCCAAAACAACTGCCTATGGATGCACTCCGTTTGTACCTGTACTCAAAAGTCCTTTTTGTTAAGTCCTAGCAGTCTTATCCCCAAGCCACAGATAAAAGAACAGACAAACTCCATGTTGGACTAGTGGTTATATGAGGTCACAACTAGGATGGGGCATGCTCCTAAAAGTGCATCTACAGTGACAACCAGGTCAGTCCTGAGTTCTCATAGTTCATGTTCTCTTAGACAGAAATCTCAATACTAGCTGATCTAACTTTCCCAACTCTGGTACACAAAGAAAAATTATGTATTGAGGGTTACTGTGCCAGCAATTTCTATTTTGGGAAGTGTCCTTCCCAAAAGAGTGTTAGTCACCTATTCTTAGGCCAATTCCAGTAGCTTCTCTGGGTTTCTATAGCTCTGGATGGGTAAACCAACTGGCCACTAGACCATACAGGACCCAGGAGAGACAGCAGTCACACAGGGACACAGTAGTCCTCAGCTTTTTGGGCCATCCTTTGCCTTGGCCTTAGGTGGGTGAGGAGACTCATGATCACTCAAGAATTCCCAAGTGTATGTCAGAAAGAACTAATTTTTTTGTCATCAATTATAAAAGCCAGGAAGTTGTGCCAACAACCAACTGCAGAATACCACATCTTCATCAGCATCTAGGAACCAACATTTTGCAGCAGCTCCTATTTGAGAGTAACAGTTTCCAAAAATTAAAATGCAGTCAAATGCCATTGAGATGAAATTAGAGCTCATATCTCCAAACTAAAATTGGAGTGAAATGAAAATTTTAGAAGATCATGACAGAAATGAAATGAATACAGATGAAGTGACCTGAGGGGCCTTTTAAAGATGCTGTGTTTCACTGAAATGTTCCCATGTTCACCAGTGACACAAATGCATTGGGGCCAATCTCACACACAGGAACATAGCATCTTTAAAGCTAGAGAAGTCACAGCATAGCTTACTTTACCGAAAATTCACGTTCAAAGTGGTGCATGCTCTACTGAAGACAGCAGGGGTGGGGGGAGAGACAGAGAGACATCATTATTCAGAGTTTAGTGTCATTTAGGTAAATAGTTACATAAAATGTTAGCCTGAATTGCATGTTAAGTATTCTCACCGTAAACTCTAGGGTACACTCAACCACAAAATGCCGTGCTTTACAAACTCAAACATGAACCTTTCAGGATACTGCAAGTGAACAAATCACTTCCTTTTTCACACTTTTCTAAGCCAGTTAAATGCTGTTTTTATTTATTTACAAGCACAATCTGCACTTCAGAAGAGCATGGAGGTTTTCTTTCTCCAAGTGCAGCAAAAGAGATGCCAGTGGCCTGTTCTGCTCTGAACTTTATCACCAACCAAGGATATTTTATCAAGAGGTTCAATGAAGGAAAACTCACTGCTTTACAACAAAGTCTTCCACCGTCTAAAATAGAGGTTCTCTTTTTAAGTTGAAAAGAACTAAGAAAACAGGGATAGGAGGAGGGGTTTGTAAGTGGGCCACTGGAAGAGCTGTTGTGTAGGACACCCTCTCCCTAGCCCACTTTAGTCTAGTAAAACTTCCAAATGGCAAAAGCAAGGAAATGGATGTTCGTGTTCTTTCAAACTCACTAGGTTTCAGGTTAAAAGGCAACAATAATGCTTCTTTCCCCATACAGGGAGCCCCAGATCTCAAGACAAACAGCAAGTAAAAACATGAGACTGAGATGTGCTCCCTGGGTCCCTGCTGCCACAAGGCTAGTCCCTCTCCTTTCACCAGGGGAGAGGTCCAGGGAGAAGCTCATACCCTTAGAACTGGGGGTAGTGGGCAGACCACAGCAGCAGAAAGTCATTCCCATGGTCACCTTGCATGGCGGCAACCTGCTCAGGGCAAAATACACTGCTTTTTGTGTGTGACTTTGCTTACTGGATCAAGAGACCAAACCCAGGGTGGAACTACATCCCCAACCCTCGGGTTTTTTTGAGACACTGTCTTACTACACACAACTCAAGCTGGCCTCAAATTCTGAACCCTCCTTCCTCAGCTTCCCAATATTACTAGCATGCTCCACCAGGCTTATGTGTAGCTTTTAAAACGAGACAATTGTTAAAGCTGGATACAAATTTTAGTATATACTGGCTTCAGACTTGATTAATCCAGGCAAATTCTATGTTTTAAGTTCATTTCTCTTAGTAAATCCATAGCCCTACTAATTCTTAACTCTCCTAGGCTCTCTGTTTATACTCTATCATTCTCTAGGCCCATGTTCCATTTCCTCCCCTTAAACTCTCCAGATTCAAGACTTTCCACAATTTCCACCCTAATCTGATAAAAATTTACTGCTTAGAAAGCAGTGCTATGAATATTAATGAAAAGGGCAAAGGTTCGTGTGTGTGTGTGTGTGTGTGTGTGTGTGTGTGTGTGTGTGTGTGTGTGTGTGTGGTACAAGTGCCAAACAGTGTGTGTGTGTGTGTGTGTGTGTGTGTGTGTGTGTGTGTGTGTGTTGTACAAGTGCCAAACAGTGTGGAGGTCAGAGAACAACTTGCAGAAGTCAATTCTCTCCTATCATGTGGGTTCCAGAGATAGAACTCTGGTTGTTAGGCTTGGCAGTAAACACCTTTATTATCAGCACTGAGCCATCTCTTTGGCCCAAGGAGCCTTTTAAAAAGCCAGACTATCAGCCATCTAGAGAAGAGGACATCTACAGCCTCCACTAGAGAAACCTGGAGATGAAGGGTCAGCAAATGACATGGGAAAGATTAAGTGATGATGGTTTGTGGAGAGATTTTATTTGAAAGAAAAAGAAAACTTGCATAGGACAGGGTCTGAGCTGTGGTTTGACTCATGACTTCCAGTGATTTTTCATTTGTCTAGAATGTTTTTCTGAAAACTACTTGTAGGCTGTTATAGATGTTGACTGCCATGCCAATAGTTTAATTCCTTTATCACACTTTCACCATTTTGAACTTCTTTTCTCTGTTTATTAGAAGTAATTTTGTTGCCGGGCGTTGGTGGCACATGCCTTTAATCCCAGCACTCGGGAGGCAGAGGCAGGTGGATCTCTGTGAGTTCGAGGCCAGCCTGGTCTCCAGAGTGAGTGCCAGGATAGGCTCCAAAGCTACACAGAGAAACCCTGTATCGAAACCCACCCCCCAAAACAGTAATTTTGTTTGTTAAAAAACATTAATTGAAGTCTATTTAGAAATTCAATGCAAAATCTGCTGAGAAAGTCAGAGACAAAAGAATCGTTCCCATGATCTGGTATTTCTGCTTTATAAAACTGGCCCTGGCCTAGAACATTCTGCAGCAAGCACTTTCAGCAGCAAGGAGACAGCCAATCAAAAACAGGAATCAAAGCCATTCCTGTTTTTTCCCAGAAGGCTTAGCCAGAGTCATTTAAAGGGAACCAATACTGTAAGCATTAGAGAGTCATACTCCAACCCTGCCAAAGACCCCCTTTCAAACAGGTGGAGGAACTCTACCAAGGTCAGCAGTAAGTTCTGAGTGGGAGAACCAGCTTCTTAAGATACCTAAATAGTCTTGATGAATGATCATTCATTCAAGGAGGAAAGCAAATATGCTGCCCCCTTGTTTTTACTGGGCTGCAAAATGGTTAGAAAGAAGATCTTAGTTCAAAAAGGAAAGATGAAAAACAGCATTATGAGACTGTTCCACAGAATTGTTTTTGTAAGTAATCCCAAAGACAAATTCCTTGTCAGCATTTTCCCCCACACCCCTCACAGTATGTGATTTAGTTCACAAGTGAAATTAAGGTTAATGACAACAATTCAGATAAGTACATGCCTTACAGAGCAGAAGAGAGAACAAATGGTTTTCAGGAAATTGTTAGTGGGGATATTTCACTCTGTGCCAGGCAGCTCATCAGCTCTGCCATGACAGACCCATAGCAGGAAGGTCTGGAGGAGAAAACTGTAGTAGGACAAAGTCTAGGACAAGTGTGTTTGCTTTGCCCCATGACAAGCTCTGACCCAAGGAGCCTCACAAGAAGCTTTTCAGCAAACAGCAAATGAGCCAGAGAGGACTGGGGTCCTGAAAACAGCCGGTCGCCTGAGCACTGAGCTTGGGAACCTAGCCTCTCAAACCTCCAGATAACACAGTTTGTATTTGCATATGTCCCTCTGGAGAAGACAGTGGGGTCTAACTCCTGACAGGCCTGGGTGGAGAGGAAGAAGACAGCACCTTATACATTACTGACCTGCTGTGGAGGGTGGAACTGGAGACGATGGGGATGTGAGAGGTGAGCTGGCCCCAGATCCTGCTAAGAAAAACAGAAATCTTCACTGGGACTAAAGACAGATGTTTGAAACTTGGCATGAGCAGAAACTCAGCATTGTCTGAGGATCTGTACTTAGCTCAGCATGTTCTGTGGAACAATGTGATGAGGGAACAGAAAATTTAGAATTTAGACACAGTGGTGACAGGTTTCCCTCAGCGCAGGGTGTATTTCCTTCATTAGGTCACTAAACTCACTGACCAGAGAGGAAGTGGGTGCTATAAGCGCTTGTTGCCATGTCTCTTCCTGAACCAACCTTGGCAGAAGTCTCACCCAAAGGAAGTCAGAGCACTCTGTAGCATATACACACACACCCTTTCTCCTTCCCTTCCTCCCTCTATGCATGCATTCCCTGCAGCCTTCTCAATGATTATTTTGTCTTAGTCTCCCAAGTACTAGGCATGCAATACCACATCAGACTCATTTTCTGAGATAGGACTTTTCTATGGAGCTCTGGCTACCCTGGAACTCACTATGTAGACCTTGAACTTAGAGAAATCCATCCACCTGACTCTGCTAACCAAGTGCTTGGATTAAAGATCTGCACCACTACACCCGACTCAGGCTTTACCCATCCATGCATTTATGTTTGAGGCACAGTCTCACTAAGTAGCCCAAACTAGCCTCAACCTTCAGGGTGCTCTAATTACAGGTAGAGTGTGACCACACCCTGCTCAGTCCTCCTGCATGCATCTCAGTATCTCCTCTAGAGGAGGCAGACAGCTTCCTATCTGAATTGACCAATGAAAATGAAAATGAAGCATAGTCTGCTGAAGATCAACTTTACCAGTAGGTATATCCAGTTAAAGAGGCTAGTTCCAAGGCTGTGGATTTTCTAGAACCGTGCTTTTTTTTTTTTTTGGTTTTTCGAGACAGGGTTTCTCTGTGTAGCTTTGAAGCCTATCCTGGCACTCGCTCTGGGAGACTAGGCTGGCCTCGAACTCACAAAGATCCACCTGCCTCTGCCTCCTGAGTGCTGGGATTAAAGGCGTTCGCCACCAACGCCCGGCTAGACTTTTTCTTATATGAAATTCTGTAAACACCCTCATTTAGGATAAAAACCATAAGCACAATCCAAAATCCCTATAGCTGGAAAATCCCTAAAAAATATCCTGTCAGTTCAATGAGGAAGTAGCCCTACAGCAGAAGCCTCTTGTTTGGAAATAGGAAGGCACAGTACTGCAGAAAGGACAGCCAGAGCTTCTTCACCAGGAGTCATCCAAAGGGAGGGTATCATCCGGCACTGAGAAGCCCCCACTAGCTGCTCCAAGGTTAGGCCTCCAGCTATCACCCATAATGACTCAGAGGATGTGTTGATGCCCCAGGGACACACTGGAGATGGGCCCTAAATAAACCACACCTCACACTCTTCACAGTACTTCTTTACTCTGTATAATAGGAGAGTTGCTTTGCTGAAAAGGGAAGAGGCAAAACTCAGCAAGGCTGCTTTCCTACTGTTTTCAGCACAAACAGATCTTAAAGACAGAAAACTGAACTTATAATTCTAGGTTGGTAACTGATCTATACATTTCCATCAATACTTGGCTTTCCTAAACTCCTGAGGTGTGTTGGTTATGATTTTTGTTTTTAATTTATTTGTTTTTTCAAAACAGGGTTTCTCTGTGTAGCTCTGGCTGCCCTGGAACTCACTCAGTAGACCAGGCTGGCTTCAAACTTGGAGATCCTGCCTGCCTCTGCCTTCCCAAGTGCTGGGATTAAAGGCATGCACCACCACTGCCCAGCTATGATTTTTGTTTTTTAGACAAGTTTTGTGTGTCTTTTAGATTGGCTTCAAACTTGCTAAGTAGCTGAGGATAACCCTAAACTCCCGATCCTCCTGTTTCCACCTCCTAAGTGGCAGGATTATAAGCATGTTCATCACACCTAGTTTACTGTATTACAGGAATGAAAGCAGGGTCTTGTGATGCTAGGTGACAATTCTGTCAACTAAGGTACATCATTAGTCCTTGGAATTCTCTGGTGTCCACTCTAACTGTATGTGAAAGAGAGTAGGCATAATCTTGGTAAGGAGTCAGGTATAGGTTTTCTCTGTTCTATAAAGAACTAGCTGCTTAAACAAAGTCACTAGTGTATAGACATGCTAGTTGAAGACATGCATCTTCCCTACCAATGAAAGTCCATCGTGTAACTCTGGAACAAATAGATTTCCAGATTTGAAATTAGACACCAGTCACAGCAGCTTCCATCCCCAGACATATGTTGGTCCTTACTGGATTCTTCTTTTTTCCTTCTCCCTGTGCCTAACTCAAGCCTAGGATTCTGTGATAGTGTCATGATTCTCATCCTATTTCTAGTGTTTGAGGACTCACATTTCAATCTTTCAATTCTCAGCTCTACCCACATCTCCAGCATTCCCCAACTGTGGATAAGCTAGCCTTCAAGATACATCTCAGTTCTCCTGTGTATCTCTCAGTATCCCCTCTAGTGTCCCCATCTGCGGATAATCCAGCCTTCAAGGTACATCTCAGTTTTGTGTGCCTCTCAATATCTCCTCTAGTGTAAGCAAAACATCTTATCTGAATTGACCAAGGAAAATGAGGCACGACCTGTGACTGATCCATCCATCCACCCGTACACCCACCCATCCAGTCTCACTACAGCGCCCAGGCTAGTTTCCAATTCATGGCCTCAAATAATCTGTCTGTTCCCCAAGTGGCTGGAACCACATGCTTGGACAAACCATGCCCAGCCCGTCCACTTTTAAAGACTTCTGCTTCATGACCTGCCCCTCCTCACTCTGGTGTTAAGGAAGGGGTGAATGAGCCTCCTCCACACCTGACACTGACAGTGGGGCTTTCAGTGCTCACTCACCCTTGGCCCTCTAGCTTCTCAAGCATTCTCCTCTTTGCATATTCAGCTCCTTATGGGTTCTTAGTCTCTTTAAAGTATAATTAGCTAAACTTCAATTTCCCCTTCTCATGCCTCACCCTCCAGGTTACTGAAAACTCCCTTCTTTTCCTCCAACCAAATGGGTTCCAGAGCAGAAGGCAAGATTTGGGCTAATTTCCATGTACACAGAAGGAAGGGCCTGTGTCTCTGGTGTTGTCACAATCCTCGCTGGGGACAGAGTTCTAATCTCTGCATTCATCACTTACTGCTCAGTCTACAGAGTTCTGACCTCCACCACTGCATGCTGGGCTCCAGTCACCTAGACCTGTTACCTGAGTTATTGGAGTTGTGCTTTACTGGCTGTTCTTCACTGTTTTCAACAGCAGATCGTTTGGATTTCTTTAAAAATAAAAGAAAGGTGGGTTGTGAGCAAAGCAAAGGCACACTTTAGTTGAGAGTTAAAAACAAATCCCAGATATATAGTTTAGCCAGCTAACCTAATGCAGTGAAGAAGCCACAAGCCAAGGGGAAAATAAAACCAGAATGCTGACTTAACCTACCCAAGCTGACCATTTCCTCCAATTACTTTATGCCATAATGGGCCAAGAAAACTAGGAAGCTACATGGTCCATTATGGTTGGGGGGGGGAGTGGGGGGGGTGTAGGGTGTGTGTATGTGTGTGTATGTGTGTGTGTGTGTTTTCAAAACAGTCATTTGTAAGTGCTTTTAGCATTCAAGGAGATATAGTACAAAACATGTCATTAAGTGTACACCATTAGTTTTAGAATTTTCTTTAGATACAGTCAGGAAATCAAAAAGACAACATGGACAACAGGCTTACCTTTCGAGCTAGGATCTTTCTCCTTTTCCTTTCTTCTTCAGACCCGTGGTGTGACTGAGCTCTTGTTAGTCTTCGATGTTGGTGAATCTTTAAGAGATTACGATCCCCAATAAGTGTCAGCAAACTCTACCTACCACAGGACCCTAATGTATCTTCTATGTGTATGATCACATTAAACAGTTAGGATAAACAGGTCTTTCTTGGCCTGCTGTCTTGTGGCTCAGGTCCAGATCTACAGGAGAAAGGTATGCTGAGTGATGATGGTCCTTCTCGCTTTCCCATTCCTTTCTACCATCTCTCTACAGAGAGTGCTGCCAATCACTCCTAATAAAACCCTATGGTGAAGGTTGACCACTCTTGTGCGTGTGCTGTCCCTCACAGATTGAGGGCTGAACTAAGAGATATTCTGCTCTGTGTCACAGAGCTCAGCCCAAAATCTGGTCGAGAGCAACTATGCACAAAACGTTTACCAAGTGACCAGTCAAAAGTCAATCACTGTGAACCTCAGGGCAGGGAATGTTGACATTAGATGATCATAGGGCAATGAGGGACTACTGCCAGCTTACCTGCTTCTGTTCTTCAACGAGTCTCTTTTCTATACATTCTTTGGCAATTCTCAAAGCCTCTTTTAATTTTGTGGGGATCTGAAAGGAGAAGTAGCACATGAACTACTGACTGAAGTGAAGTTCCAGATTCCTGGACACACTCAGCAGCAGCCATTATCACATGGGAAGTCCTCTAAAACAAAACCAGTGAAACCATGGATCCCATCTACATCAGCTACACTCACCTCAACAGCGCTTTGGGGTGGTGAGTACATAAAATTAAAGCATAAACACACTGTTTCAAGGGGTAATTCAAGGGGTTCCAGAATTGCTAAAACAATCTCAAAGAACAAACAAGGCATCAAAACCTATTACATGACCTCACAAAACCTCGTTTCAAACCAATTATTAAACAGCTAATTAACCAGAACAGGAGATTCTAGAAACACACTCTCATGTACTCAGCCAAATGGCCTTCCCCAGAAATGTTAAAAATACACGAGGAAAGAACAATTGCTTCAAAAGAGTGTTGGTAAAAGCTAAATATCTGCATGAAAAGTAGTAAAGTTAGATCATTATTTTAAGTCACATTTGAAAATTAATTCAACATGGTGTGGGACCTAAATGTAACACTTAAAATCGTAGAACGCGGGGCTGGAGAGATGGCTCAGTGGTTAAGAGCACTGGCTGCTCTTCCAGAGGTCCTGAGTTCAATTCCCAGCACCCACATAGTGGCTCACAACCATCTGGTGCCCTCTTCTGGCCTGTAGGCATACATACAAGCAGAGCACTGTATATATAATAAATCAATAAGTCTTTAAGAAAACAAACAAAAGACGTAGAACTCCTAAAGCATAGGGAAGGGGCATTGTGGCACTGGATTTGTCAGTTTTGTTTTGTTTTGCTTTTGGATTTTTAGTTTTTTGGGACAGGGTTTCTCTGTGTAGCCCTGGCTGTCCTGGAACTCACTCTGTAGAGCAGGCTGTCCAGGAACTCACAAAGATCTGCCTGCCTCTGCCTCCCAGTGCTGGGACTAAAGGTGTGTGCCACCACCGCCAAGCTAGTATTTTCTTTTTACTTAAAAAAATTAACTTACGCTCTCTCTGCTTCTGCTCTTCTCTTCTCTGTCTCTTCTCTCTGCCTCTCTATGGCAACTGGCCATGGCGGTCAGCCATTACCCCTGTTCCTCTTCTCTCTTAGTCTCCCTACTCTGCCGAGCTAATAATAAACTGGTTAATATGTCTAAAAAAATTAACTTACTTATTTATTTGTCTATCTTTGTTTTGGGGACAGCCTCTCCTGGAGTTGTTCAGACTGGCCTTGAACTCACTCTGCAGCACAAGCAAACCTGAATGCACTTGTGATCCTCTTGCTGCAGCTTCCTCAGCTGCTGTGTTTGCCATCACCCATGTCCAAGACTGGCTCTTTATCTTCAGGTAGGGTCTTACTCTATGACCCAGGCTGGCCTGGCACTTTATGTAGCCCAGTCTGGCCTTGACCTAATGATCCTCTTGTCTCAGGGATTATAGGTACATACCATCCTACCCAGCTGGAAATAATATGATATGATACCAAAAACATAGGCAATGAAATAAAACAATGAATAACTTGGACTCATCAAAATTAAAACTTTGTTCAACAAAGAAAATCACCAACAATGAAATTTAAAATATTTCAATACTTATCTTAAAGGACTTAGTACCAGAAGATATAAAGGAACTTCTGCAAGTGAGCAACAAAAATGTGGACCTGATTTAAAAATGAGAAAAGAGGGAGCTGGAGAGATGGCTCAGAGGTTAAGAGCACCAGCTACTCTTCCAGAGGTCCTGAGTTCAATTCCCAGCAACCACATGCTGGCTCACAACCATTCGTTATGAGATCTGGTGCCCTCTTCTGGCCTGAAGGCATACATACAGGCAGAACACTGCATACATAATAAATAATTAAATCTGAAAAATAGAAATAAAAATGGGAAAAGGGTTTTAATAGAAATTTCTTCATAGAAAACATACAAACGATTTTTAAAAATTCTGCATTATCAAATGGTCTTTTCGGCAGCTAAAAAAGATGGTCAAAACTGAGGAAATACAAATCAAATCCACATTATGGTATCATACCCTTTATAGCCATTATGATGGCCACTATCAAAAAACATAAAGTAAGTCTGGCGTGGTAGCAAATGACCTTGATCCTAGCACTTGAGAAGCCAATGTAGGAGAATTTGAGTTCCATGCTAGCCTGGGTTATATAGCAAGTTTCAGGCCAACTTGAGCTACATAGTGAGACCCTGTTGCAAAAAAAAAAAAAAAAAAAAAAAAAAAAAAAACCACCCCAAAAAAAAAAAAAAAAAAAAAAAAAAAAAAAAAAAACCAGCTCAGAATAATAAGAAGGAAATATATTTGGGCTTAAGTGAAGGGTCAGTGGTTAAGAGTACCTATGTTCTTACATTGGACCTGGGTTTAGTTCCCAGCGCTCTCATAGCAGTTCCTACGCCTGCAGTTCCAGGGCCTCCAATGGCCTCTCCTGGCCTCTGCAGGTAACAGGCAATTGTATAGTACATAAATGCAGCTATAACACTAATGCATATAAACAAGAATAACAAGTCTTGGCAGGGAGAAACTGGAACCTTGTATACTGTTAATATGATGATATAGTCACTTTGGAAAACAATATGGAGATTCCTAAAACAAAACAAAACAAAGAACGGAAGGACCATATGAGGAGTGGAAGTTTTACTGCCATCCAGGGGAGAGGCAGGGGTGCTGTTGCTTCCATGCTTCAGTGTAAAGGCCAACCCCAGTGAGAGAATGACAAATACAAAATGGTTACTAGCAACTACAGAGCAGTGCAAGGCCTGGTTCTGGCTTTTCAGTCCCACCACACTGCTGCTTCTCTTGAGGTCTCTTTCCAGACTTTTCTTTAGATTCACATGTTTGGATTTATACTGTGTCTTCCAGATCCCATTGTTTTGTTGATATTAGCCTAAACAATAGTCACTTTCCACATTATTATAATGCCTTTATACATTTCATTTTAATAACTTATTTTTATTTTATGTGCATTAGTATGAATGTGTCACAGATCCCATAAAACCAGAGTTACAGACAGTTTTAAACTGCCATGTGGGTGCTGTGCTGGGATTTGAAACCTGGTCCTCTGGAAGAACAGTCAGTGCTCTTAACCACTGAGCCATCTCTCCAGCCCCATATACATTTCACTTTTATGAGATAAAATTTTTAAATACATGCATTATAGCTAGGCATGGTGGTGTTTGTCTATAGCCCAGAATTGGGGAGGCAGACACAAGAGGACTGCTGCAAGTTCCAGGCTACACAAGTCTGTTAAACAAACAAGGGGCTGGAGAGATGGCTCAGTGGTTAAGAGCACTGGCTGCTCTTTCAGCGGACCCGGGTTCAATTCCCAGCACTCACATGGCAGCTCACAACTGTCTGTTACTTCAGTTTCAGGGGATCTGACACCTTCACACCAATACACATAAAATAAAGTTAAATAAATTATTTTAAAAAATTGTATCTTGTTCCTCATTTCCTCTTTAAAAAAATAAAAATAAAATAAATAAACAAGCCCCCAAACCAAAACAATTTCTTGCATTATAAATGATCAAAATAGTGACTAGTTATAGGATATTTAGACTGTTTCCCAATTTTTCATATCATGAACCTTTTTGTTATTCTTTAAAAAATTAATTTGCAAAGCCAACTTACTTATGTCACAAATCCAAAATTTATATAATTTGCTTTACCTTAAACTGTGGCTTTTCAGAAGTTGTTAATAAAACATCACTGAATAATCTATAAGAAAAGAAACAAATGCATAAGGCCCTGGGTTTAATCTGGTAACACGGAAAGAAAAAAATGAAAAACAAAAACAAAAACAACCTTTCATAAACCAAGTAGACTCTTGGAGCAGCTCAGGACACCTTAGTCCCTGAGCCAGCCCAGCCCAGCCCAGCCCTAAGTTTGTTAGACAAGGCAAAGGTGTTTACATATCACTTGCTGTGCCCTCAGAGGTGCTATTAGTGCAGGGGACCAGAGTAGTTATACTCTAGTTATACACTAGCTATACACTATGAGCAGTACAATGCTTGCAAAAAACTTTGGTAAACACCAGTTTACAAAATGTTGCAGATAATATATTTACTAGATGTTTCTAAACAGAACTATTTTTTTTTCTGACTCAGAAAAGGTAGTTTATAGCTGGGTATTGGTGGTGCATGCTTTTAATCCCAGCACTCAGGAGGCAGAGGCAGGTGGATCTCTGTGAGTTCGAGGCCAGTCTGGTCTACAGAGTGAGTGTCAGGGCAGGCTCCAAAACAATACAGAGAAACCCTGTCTGGAAAAACCAAAAAAGAAAAGAAAAAAAAAAGGTAGTTTATTTAGAATTTAGTATATTTTGAATTGTGATGATTGCAATCTAAGAGAAAAATGATTTTCTTCTGATTCTCATACTTCATTCTAAAGCAGCAGTTTCTGGGTTTCAATTCTTTCTTCAAAGGTGAGTTATTAGAAACAGCAGCAGGAGGAACCCTGAACTGCTCTGGTTAGAAGGGTTGCTTGGATAGTGCCCAAGTGGTTAAGTGATTTTTTTTTTTTTTTTTGAGATAGGGTTTCCCTGTGTAGCTTTGGAGCCTGCCTCTGCCTCCCAAGTGCTGGGATCAAAGGCATGCACAACCAATGCCCAGCGGTTGAATGATCTTAATGCTGAGAATTCTTTTATAAAGACAGAAAGTCACCCCATGTAGAAATGATAGCTGCCTTTTCTAGGGCCCTTCTTGAGTCTTGGCCCTCCCCTTCCACCCATCCACTGACTTCCAGACCTCACATTTCCACTAAACATCCACCTCTTCAGCTGTTCTTCTCAAAGCTGAAGCCCATGGGGTAGAAAGTTTTAGAAGACAAAACATTTGCTTGATGCAGGCAGTAGGTACAGGCAAAGAACCCTGGGGAAGGGAAACCAAGTACAAACTCAAGTACATCAGCCTCACACTGCTCCCTAACTAAATGCACTTTGAGTTAGGAGACTGTGTGGAAAATGTTGTAGTTTTCAAAGTGGGTCTATTTTTTCACATGTACACTGTTATTGGTGGTTTGAAAAAAGATGCTGCAGTGTCACATCCATGGGCAAGGGCTTGCTTCTTCTGTTCATCAGCCTGACCTATAATAGGCTTCTCTAACCATGTAGGAAGAAAGAATGAAGGACCTGAAATTAGTTACATCCTCTGCCTTCACTTTGTTCCCCATCTTGTTGGCTGTTGTTACTACTTCCTGAATACCTTTGCTATACAACAAGCTGGTGCAGACAAAACAGGCAGAGCTAGGGAAACTTCTCAACATGCTGAGGAAGCTTGCCCGGGTCCTGCCGGGATAAGGAATGAAGCTGAGATCCATTCACATGTTTGCTTGTACCTAAGGGAGAGGCCATATAGAGGCACCAGCTCTCAACTCCTCACAACTCTGTTGACAGGTCTTTTGAGTACACAAAGCTTAGCACAGGGTTTGGTTCATGCTAGCAGTTTAACTGCTAGTGCCCAATGATGAAATAAACAAGCAAAAGCACAGGAGCCCAAGAACACACTGATTCCTTGTGGAGGGCAGACCTGCCAACGCCTGATAGGTGCCAACTACACACAGATGGGGGCCAGCAGGTAGCTGGAGCAGGATCACCAGAGAGAGGGGCTGGGGAGGCCCCCCTTCTATATTTCCTGAATTAGTTGTGACACACAAATGCTAATGGTGATGGAACACATGTGGAAAGGACACTGGCATTCTAGGACAGCAAGCAGACTAAGTAGAAAGGACACAAGGCAAGGTCATGGTATCACGCTGTAAGAGACTCACAGTAAGCCAGTCACTTCAACCCTGCATGGACTACCATTGAGTATTTACCATGGTACTGGGCTCTAGGCACAGTGGTCCAAGGTTCAACACAGTTATCAAGATTACAACCAATGCTTATGATTGACTTACGGCATCTGTAAGAGCCGGGAGACGGTAGGCATGCCATTTTTAGAGGCTTCACAAGACAGCGTAGACTCCAACACGGCCACTTGAAATGAACAGATACACATTTTAGTTCCACAGAACACTCTCAAAGATCCACTTGCTGAGGAAAAGTTTGACATCTCTGCAACAACTGTCTGCAGGTTGATCAGGACAGTGTCAAAAACTTCACATACAGACAGATGGCATACGTGGGGAGATGGGAAATGCTGGCATTTTCAATGGTTCAAAAGAAATGCCTCAGAACTACATGCATGTGGATAGAAAGATGAGTATATCCCAAGGATAAATGGAAAGCATCAAGATTGTATTCATACAGTTGTTCTCTTTAGAGAGAAGCAAACATTACACAGAAGGCAAATTCTGAACTTGAAAGATTTTGTTGCTCACTTGCTTTTAATGGAAACCAGCACACAAAGTGCTAGTTGCTGACACTTCACCATCCAACACAATGCTATAAGCGAGTGACCAGATTCTCCTACTCATGGGTTACTGTTCAAACTGAGCAGGAAACAGTCCCAGGGTCTGTTATCTTGCACTGCCTCATTTGGCACAGTGATGCAGTGATTTGCGTATGTCAAGCAGTGTTCCAAAAGCTACCTGGGACCCCCTTTCTTCCAGCCTTGAGCTCTAAGCTGGCCATTCAGTAGATGGGAGTGTCTGAGGACAGTTTACATCAGTCCTTATGCCTCATCTGTCCTTTGGTCCTCCTTAGTCTCCTTGGGTAAGGCTGTAACAGCTCCTTGACTCCATTTACCTGAGAATCTGGAGCCCTTATTTTCAAGAACTCTAGCCGCTGCTCTCAAGTTCCTTCCAATTCCCACTCCAGCTTGGATGGGATTCTTGCCTAGCTCCTCAAGTCTGACATCAAGTTGCCTGACCCTCACTTTTGCTTCTTATTAAATTCCAAGCTGGCCAAAGTTCTCTTTCCATTCTCCTGCTTCCAAAATTATAATGCAGTTTACAGAAGTTTTGCCAAAGGCTTCAGACAGCTGAACAGACATATAGGCCGTCTGAACATTCACTGATGTGTACCCTCTCTGTGGAAGATGACAACTTCCTCTGGATCTTCCTTGGACTTTGGAAAGAGTAAGTAGCTCTGCAGACTACCAGATCCCAGAAGACCCCACTCCCAAGCTCTATACTGACCTACAGCCATGGATGGTGCAGGAGGAAAGGAGTCAACAGGCACGGAGTCTGGAGGTCGTCCATAAGTCATTTCATATAGTAAGTGGCCAAAGCAGTGAACATCTACACTTTCCAATGTCTGGGAAAGAAAGAGCAGTGCCATGTTCAACCGTGACTGCTCCTGCCCAGGCTTCCACTGAGAAACAAGGCTTAGGGGCAGCCCCATTCCCAGTGTAACTCCAAAGCCTTTTCAAAGGCTCACAAGGCATTGTTCTGACTTAAGCTACAGGTCCTTTTCAGTCAATGATTCCATTCACTTCCTTGTCCCACCCACCATTTCATCTTTGCCTCTTAAAGATCCAACAATGCTCTGTGAAAGAAATGGGAACAAGGTACAGTCTAACTATATTTTTCACTGCATAATGCATAGGGTAATCTGTACCTAAACACAGACCTGTCATGACTGTCACAACTTACATTGATTTTCCTGAATTGAGTGAAGTAGGATCGGTAGAAGGAAGGAAGACCCAATAAGGAATTTTCAAGATCTAGCAGCCGGCAAGTGTTACCATCCATCATCACATTAGCCGCATGAAGATGGCCATAAGGGAATCCCTTGTCGTGGAGAAACTTTAGTACCTATTAAAAATATGTGTATGTTGAATTGTTCCTAATTCATTCACATATAACATAGGTTAAATGTAATGATGATCTTTGTCCTGGCTAGTCCCGCTGTCAGCCCCAAATGAACACACAGATGCTATACTAGTTATAAAACTGTTGGCCAGTGGCTAGGGTGTCTTATTGGCGAGCACTGTCTTAATTATTAACCCATTTCTATTAATCTATGTATTTCCATGTGGTCTTAGCTTACCGGAGAATGCCCAGACCTGTTACTCCTTTGGCGGCCTACATGGTGACTCCTTTTTGCCTATCTTTCCCAGAATTCTCCTCTTTTCCTAGTCCCACCTATCTTCCTGCCTTATTGGCCAACAGTATTTTATTCATCAACCAATAGGAGAAACACATATACAGAAGGACTTCCCCCATCAGTTAAATTCATGTTTTAAATATTTTGGGGGAGGATGGATGGTGGTGGCACATGCCTTTAATCCCAGCACTCAGGAGGCAGAGGCAAGTGCATCTCTGTGAGTTCAAGGTCAGCCTGGTCTACAAAGTGAGTTCCAGGACAGCCAGGGAGGTTACAAAGAGAAACCCTGTCTCCAAAAACAAACAAACAAAAAAACAACAAAAAACAGAAAGAAAAACCTCCACATGTGTGCTGTGGCATGCACCTACCTACACATAAACAAGTCAATAGATGTAAAAAGGAAAAAGCTTTTCAGCTGGGTATGTAGCTCTGTAGCAGTTTTCTCATCACATAGGAGGCTAGGAGTTAACTCCTCAGCCAAGAGTTAAAATGCAACCATCATCCTTTCTTTGGAAAAAGGATGATGTAGAGTGCCTCACAGTTGTCAGACTGTCAGATACAACACCAAATTCCCTCTTTTCCTAGATGAAGGGAATTCGCTTGGAGGGAACAGCTGATTCCAAAAGGTCCTGCTCTGGGAACTTTCTGGTCCCAGCAGGCCAGCTGTGTTCTGAGGAAATGCCCGGTCCACCTGCATGCATGAAGCCACGGCATCAGTGTCTCTGCCAATCACTTAGGAAAAGGGTTTAAAATGAGAACATCTCTTGTTCAGTGTCTACTTGGCACGTATTTGGTTTTTATTAATTAAAATACAAAGTAGGTTTCTATCCTCCCCCAAAAGAATCAAACTTTTCAGCTTCAATTTAGATAAGCCATGTGTGACTCACTCAGCAACAGATGAGTTTATGCCCCTACAAGGACCTGCGGAACTAGAGAAGCAGCAGTGAGGGGGTGCCCCGGCAATCCAGTGAAGACAGAAGGAAATATGCTAATATATCTTTCCAGTTGCTGGCTTAAAAAATCTCATCCTTTAAAAAAAAAAGTCTTATTCTTGCTGGGCAGTAGTGGCCCATGTCTTTAGTCCCAGCATTCAGGAGGCAGAGGCAGGTGGATCTCTTGAGTTCAAGGCCAGCATGGTCTACAGAGCAACTTCCAGGACAGGCAGGGCTACACAGGCAAACCTTGAAAAAAAAAAAAAAAAAAAAAAAACTCCTATCTTTTTTGTTTGTATGTTTGTTTGTTTGTTTTTCAAGGCAGAGTTTCTCTGTGTAGCTTTGGAGCCTATCCTGGCACTGGCTCTGTAGACCAGGCTGCCTTGAACTCACAGAGATCCACCTGCCTCCCAAGTGCTAGGATTAAAGGCGACTGCCACCAACGCCCAACAAAATCCTATCTTTTTAAAACATGTCATGCATAAAATGTGTTGCTGGCAGTGCATGTATGTAAATTTACATATTTATTTACATATAAATAACCTGGGAAAGGAGCTGGTAAGATGGCTCGGTGGATTAAAGTGCCTGCTACACAAGCAAGAACACCTAATTTTGGATCTCCAGCACCATGGTGGCTTGTATCTGTAACTCCAGCTCTGGGGCAGAAGGAAAAGACAAGTAGATACCTGGAGCTTATTGGTCAACTAGCCTAGGCAATTGGTGAACTCCAGGTTCGGTGAGAAACCCTGTCTCTAAAAATGAGGTGGACCATGACAGGAAGACACCTGCTATTGAACTCTGGCCTCCACATGTGTGTGTATAGACAAGTGTATTCCTACACAAAAACAAGTATGTATGTATGCATGTGACCATCCATCCATCCATCCATCCATCCATCTATCTCTATCCCTCCACACACACCCCCACACACATCCACACCATGGACTAGGATTATGCTTAAATCTCTATCGATGGGTTTGTGTAATTCAAGAAGTCTAGAGAATATTATGTAGAGAGGATGACAGGGCCAAAGCTGGCCATCTTTTCTCCCTGTCTTCCTCCTCCATTTCCCTCCTAGTGTGAAGGATTACTTTGTGCCTTGCAGCACTAAAACATATCCATCCAGCCCAAATGGGAAAACGCCTTTAGAGTTCTGTAAAGAAGACATAAGGGCCAGGCACTGTAGTGCAGACCTTTAATCCTAGCATGCAGAGGCATGTAGAATCCTGAGTTCAAAGTCAGCTTGGTCTGTACAATGCACTCCAGGCCAGCCAGAGCTAAACTTTTCCTCAAAAATGAAACAAAAACAAGAAAACAACTTGGGCCAACCACATGATCTGAGTTCAATCCCTGGAGCACAAGTAAAAGTGGAGACAGGGAGCCTACTTCACAGAGTTGTCCTCTGATCTTGTCTCACACATAGCATGGCTCACATGCCCACACACTCATAGAATAATAATGAAGTTTAAAAACAAATCTTGGTACAGAGATAAAGGTGACATCCACATAGTAAAGTTTTTAAGGGTCAGACACCAAATCCAATAGCCAGACTTTTAGAATTTCATAGATCTAAATTACTGCCACCTTCATCTCAAATTTTGCTTGTTGGGAAAAAATATAGCAATGATATCAAGTTACAGATAAGTAAGACAATGTCTCTACTTTTGGATATTGCCTGAGAAACTTCCCAGAAGAAAACTGTCATTCTAGGGGCTACAGAAATGAATGGCTCAGAGGCTAGAGAGATGGCTCTGAGGCTGTTCTTCCAAAGGCTGTTCAATTCCCAGCAAACAGATGGTGGCTCACAACCATTTATAATGAGATCTCATACACTCTTCTGGCCTGCAGGCAGAACGCGGTATGCATAATTAATAAATAAATCTTTTTTTAAAAAATGAAATGAATGGCTCAGCAGTTAATATCACTTGTTCTTCCAAAGACCAAAGTTCAGCTGCTCATACCCATGTTGGATGGCTCACAACCACCTGTAACTCCAGCATCAGGGAATGACACCCTCTTCTGGCTTCTACAGAGGCCACCACACACATGTGGGAGACATACACACACACATAAAATCTTCAAAAAACTAATTCTGAATGAAACATGAGTGCAACTAAAACAAAATCAAATAGCTCTTACCTCTAATATCTGCCGTCCATATGTTTTTATTTGCTGGAGTTCAAGGCCCTGGATTTTCTTAGGGTTGCAGTACTTCTTTAGGAAGGGGTCCTTTGGTTTTGCCTTTAGAAAGGAACCAAGAACACATAGAGTAGTAGCAGAGGAGCCAATTTCGACCCCAGATTCCATGGAGGCTGAAGGTGCCAGGGAACCCATCACACAGGATGTGGGGTTTGTTGCTGTGTTAATCCAATAGTCTGTAGCTGAGATAAAGAGGCTGATCTAGGCTCTATTTCTTCTGTATCTGAGGGACTACATACTTGGTCTCACCCTAGGCAATTCCCAAAGTCTTGCCTAGTAATGAATTCTTCAGGACTGCTTTGTTAACTGCAAAAAAACAACTTTAAAACTCACCAACAGAGCAGCCTATGGCGTAAACAGATGTCTATCTTCTCTCATGGGGGAAGGAAGGCTCTTTAATCAAACTAGATAGTTTTTCAAAATCAGATTTAAATTTTTGTCTGTGTTTTAATTTTTTGATTTGGGTCTCAATATGTAACCCACGGTGGACTAAAACTTGCAATCCTCCTGTCCTAGCCTCCTGAGAATTGGGATTCCAGGTGTGTACCACCATGTTCTGCTTAAAATTTAAAATAAAATTCTTGGGGCCTTAGGGAAGAAATGATATAATCTCAAAGAAAATACTTTTTAAAAAATTCATGGGGCCTAGCTTCTGGAATTTTATGTATCAAGTATTAGTAACAGGTTCGAAGGGACTACAGAACTTTATAAGCATGAACTTGGTTTAAAAGTAGTACCTTGTAGATCAGATCCTTCAACGTTCCTTTTTCATTAAAGGTTCTAATCAGCAATGCTGAGGATTCACTAGCCGTGGCAAAGGTAACCCGATATATGTAAGGGTGCTGCCAAAACAAAAAAGAAATTCAGGTTGGTTCACTTCAGGATCTGGGTACTTTTAGACTCATGATCTGGTGACAAGGTCAAGCACCTTGGTGGTTTAGTTTCGTACAAAGTGACATCCCCTGAACACATAACACATGTTACTTTCAACTTATTAGATGATCAACTAGCTCCTGACCCTCAGATGGGAGAAAGATGGAGAGAGATGACATAATAAGCTCTACACAACTCTGCTTGGCTAAGTCCCTCATGTGAAGTCTCTGCTGTGAAAGGCTCCTCAGGGAAGGCCTCTCTTTGCTGTATGCATCCAGAGTCCCTGCAAAATCATGGTGGAGTTTTGGGAAAATGTAAACTGATAAAGAACACAGATAAGTCCCGGAAGAACTATGCAGGAGACGAGGATAAATGTGTCTCTGCTCACACTTTACCACTTACTCTGCACTGCTGTTTGGATGCCAAGGGAGCAGTATGCTTTAACATCTTGGCCTTTTTCAAAAGCCAGGAACATCAACTTCTCTGACCTCCTACAGAAGTTTGCAGTATGCCTATTCAGTGTCTTCCTCAGATGGGGACCCTAATGTCAACCAAGCAAAGTGAGGGAAAGACAAATTCTTTAAAGACTTAAAAGTCTTCCTATAACCTGGAACTTTGGATACATGGACAAAAAGACTAACTCCTCAGGCTCTAGGTAACTTGGTGAATCACAGGTTAACCAGATGGCCTTTAAGGAAACATGCACTACTTATACTAATAGATGTCCCAATCCAAGACCTGGATACTTTTGGTCTGAATTAAAAACCAATGTATCTTTCCATTCTCTTCAGTCTTCAGGGCATTTCCAGCTATTCTATTCTATCCAGATTCACTCCCAAGAAAACACTGACTTTTTTAGTAATGACGACAGCAGGACTTGTACTTACCACACAGGAAGGCAGAAGCTTGATTGCACACTGAAAATCTTTATCTGACAAGTATTTGTCTGGGCCAAGATCAGCCTGGAAATACAAGAAATAACAGAGTACATACCGCTTTGCTCACAAAAGAAAATTTCCTTATATCTTTCCCCATTTTATTTGTCCAAATTCTTAACTATATATCAAAGATGGAAACCAAATGAAGTCTGCTGCCTCAAGGCCTTTTCTGGAGAGGTAGTATGAATACATATGAACGCCAGGGTATGACTGGGGTTCCATCCAGTTCCATAACCAAATGCATCACTAGAACTCCCAGAGAAAAAAGGATGAGGTAATGCCCAATAGCTTTCATTGGAGGTCACTCCAGAGCTGTCAGTCCTAGTTCCAGGCCATTCCTATAGTCTTTTGTGCAATTATTAATTGACCAAACGATTTTAACAACCCTCTGTGATGTGGGACTGAGAAAGTCCTTATATCACCATGTAAAAGCACAGCACAGTTCTGAGATTCTCTTATCAAAACTCTCCTTCATAGTGGTGGCACACACCTTTAATCCCAGCATTTGGGAGGCAGAATCAGGTAGATCTCTCTGAATTCGAGGCAAGCCTGGTCTACATTGTGACTTCGGGGACAGCCATATCTACACAGTGAAACCCTAAGCAAACCAAACCAAAGTAAAACAAAAAACTCTCTTTCATATATTATTTAAATCTCTTGGAAAAAGCTAAAGCAAAAGAATTAACTTACCCAGCTCAACACCAGTCGTTCCTTTGGTTGGTTTTTAATTTTCATCAAGAAATATTTCTTCCTTATCCTCCAACCTGCCACAGAAGCAGAAAAGGTGCTTATAGCTTTGGCATTTTTGCAATAGTTGATGTAAATTTTATTGACTAAGTAGTTAATCAAAAGTACATTTAGCAATCTTAGCCGCAACTATGTAGGGCCCAACCACTTAATAATGTTTGTATGGAAAAGCTATATTGTAAAAACAATAAACAGCTCATGGAAAAGCTAATAAAACAGCACTTCAATCTAGACCTTCTGAAAATGACCAATGAAGAATGAATAAAGGTTCTGAAAATGAACAGCACCCTAGTCCTCCGACAGGGCTTTACCTAAGGTTACTAGGTATTAAAGGTTAAGGGAGGCACAAGGACTGTGAAGTCAACAGAGGTAGAGAACTTCACTGGGATGACCAGGCATCCAACTCCAACAGCAGAATGGGCATGCCAGCCTCTCACCTATGTCTTTCAGTGGTTCTACCACCTCCCACTTTGGTTCTGATCGGAAGAACATGGAAACTTGTTGTAAGGCGATCTCTGTAACGATATTGTAGAAATCCATTAGTCAGATGTGTTAGTAAAGACTAAGGGCTTCACATACTGCTCATGCAAATGAAGTTCCTGTCATCTATAGATTTCCTTCAAAAAAAAGATTGATCAAGATTGGGTGGTAGTGGTGCACACCTTTAATTCCAGCACTTGGGAGGCAGAGGCAGGTGGATTTCTGTGTGTTAGGCCAGCCTGGTTTACAGAGTTTCGGGATAGCCAAGACTACATGGTGAAACTGTGTCTAGAAAAACCAACCAACCAACCAACCAACCACAAAAACAAAACAAAACAAAAAAAACTTGTGATAAAAAAGGTAAAAAAGGGAAGATTAAAAATAATGTAGGCTTTTAGAACAGACCCTGGGGATAGATGTTGAATAATGCCTGAGTTTAATGATAATGTACCAACAGTGCTTTCTTAATTTCAGTTAAGTCCCATGGTTATGTCAGATGCTACACTGAAGAAAGTAGCAAGGGGTATCTATAGAAACTATTACTGTAACTTCTCTGTAAACCTAAAATTACTCCAAAATTAAAGGACTACTATGGAGGAAAAATAAGATACTAATCATGTGGAAACATACATATTTTTTAAAACTAGGAAACCTAAAGTATGTAAACTATCTGGCTAAACCAGGAATTTAATCAGGTCATGACGAAAACTCAAGATTCAAAAAGCATTTTAAAGTCACAAGGAACAACATGTTCCAAGTGATATTTATCCAATCTTCATTCCTTGTGGAATTACAGCTTTCACAAACAAAGAAGCGACTAGCCATAAGTATACCCCGGAATAAGAGCCAGCAATTCAAAAAACTTTCTTCACAACAACATGGTTCAATTGTGGTGTGGTACATACAGAGTGCCTGTTACAGATCTTTTTTTTTTTTTTTTTCTGTCCTCTTTTTGTTGTTCATTTATCATGCAAACGTTTCCCCTTTAACAAAGACAATGAAAAGAGGAAGTTCCTCCAAGTTCACTACATTAAGAAACTATCAGAATAACTGCTTTGTACATTCCCCCAAATAACATTACAGGATACCATTTCGTCAGCAAGTGAGGCCACTACAGATGCAAGAAAGCAAATAACAATCTCCAAAAACACCATGGAATTTCACCTCTGCCTGGTGTTAATTACATTCCAAAGAAACTGGTGAGGCCTGAACTCACCAACAATTCTCTCCATATGTCAAAACATTCTTGCTGGGCAGTGGTGGCTTTTAATCCCAGCAAGCAAAGGCAGGAGGATCTCAGTGAGTTGAGGCCAGTCTGGTCTACAGAGTAGGTTCCAGGACAGCTAGGGCTGTTTCACAGAGAAAAAGCAAACAAACAAAACAACCCCCCCCAAAAAAACAACATTCTCTCCTGGAATCACTGAGAGCTTGGCAAACATTGTCACTGCATATTTTACAGAACGTTATGAGTGAAAAAGTTTGCAGGAGACAACAGTTGGCTGCTTGTTTACTGACTCACTATGCAAGGTGTCCCCTAAATATCCCAAGGGAAACACATGACTACAAAATGCAAAACTGGCTCTACTTACATTGTTAGATTTGGTTATATTTACATTCTATTTACATTCTTAGCTGCTCTAAGACGCCACAGGACTTTGGAAAGGGCTGGGGGTAGCTAATAAGAACGTCATTTTTACTAGCTCTGGGAATGCTGTGCCTCTGTTAAAAATGTTGATACAGTATTTTTTACCATTTCCAAAATATGTTGAAAACAAGTTAAAAAGGAAACCATTTTAAGTGAAAGTATCCATATCAACTTTGAGAAAAATTAGGAAAATAATTTTCTACCTTACTACAATGTCACTTCAAGAAACTACACAGGACATCATTCAAAACTAAAGATAACTCATAAGCTATCAATCAATCATTTACTGTATATTACTAATGTTAGTTCTGACAATGATGGCCAGCCTGCCTTGGCAGTTAAGTCATCACCTGCCATCAGGTGATCTGCTTATCTCATGTCCCCACTGAGATGGCCTTTCGTTCTTTTGCTCTCCCCTCTCCATTCCCCCACCAAGTCACTTGCACTAACTCTGTTGTTGCTCACTGCGTGTCCTTTTAGTGGCATACCTTGGCAGGGCCTGCCAAAGGCACCCAAGTGGCTAAATTTTATCCTTTCAGCTATGTGTCATAAACTGTTTTAGAAATGGAGACATAACAGGGAACAGACAGAATGGAATAGAGATGTTCCTGATAAATTGGGGACTGAATTAGATTTTATTTTAAACGTCAGTGGTCAGAGAGCTTGAGAAGGAAAATTTTCTTTTCACTGAACTATTATTTAACATAAAAAGTTGCATGGTAACTGATACTAATGCCTCTCTTTCCAGATTAAGCACCAATCCTAAACTTCTCCTCTGCATACAAGCCCATATCGGCTTCCTACTTCCTTACCAAACAAAAACCCAGCTGCTAAAGCAAGTGCCTAGCTGGCTTCCGATCCATGGCCCACAATGTTTGGTTCACCCTCCACACTGAGTTCTGCATTCCACAATCCCTCTGGCCTGGCCCCAGCATCAGCATTTCCACAAGAACTAGCTATACCTTCAGGCTGAGTCCAAATCTACTCCCAAGCCCTCCTCCTCACTCCATGTCCAGGGCATCTATCCCCCTCAGGGACCTTGCATGTCCTGAATTAGGACTGCTCTCTTCATTGCTATGAAACTCTAGGCAGGACATCTTTTAGCTTAGGTAAAGTCCAGAGCCCTGTGGAAGTACTAATTTCCCCTACCATGGACTCTTTTTCTTGCAGTACTGGCCCTTGGTTCCAAGCCTGCTATCCTCCACTGGCCTTTATCTCCAAGCCTGGTGTACCTTCCAACCCTGTTTACTCTGTAACAGAGAAATCTCCCTGCATAAGTGCTATGAGCCTTGCTGTACACTTAGCACCTGCCATAAACTAGCTCAATTAATATTTGATGAAGAAGTAACTAAAGAGTCAACACATGGCTAATAGATGTGGAACCTCCCATTAAAGAGAACCATTAGAATATGCAGAGCCCCTCCCCAAAGGAATACATCAGACTTCTACTTATTTCTCTTTTATAATTTTTATTTTTAAATTTTGCTTTTTTAAAAATTGTTGTTTCAGGGTTCCCCTGCCCTAATCAGGGACACCTGACTCCAGAGGTCTGCTCACGGGATCTGAACTCGGTCGGCAGGCTCCAGCACACCCAGAGACTGCCAAGGCCCCAGTAACAGTTCTGCCTCCATCCAGGAGAGGAAGACACATCAGAGTATTGGAAATGTTTGCATCTATAGAAGGGAACCTTGGTCCCATATCCACCAGGAGAAGAAGAGACTCCTGCTACACCCACCAGAAGAAAGGATGGGAAGAAGACAATATAAAAGCACATTCAACAACAGAAAAACCAATACGACCTAGGGACCACACAGCATCAAGACCAGAACATCACAATGCAGATGAAGCAGAAGAGAATGACCTTAAAACATCTTCATGAAAATGATAGAGGGCCTCAAAGAGGATATGAGAAAATCCCTTAAAGAAATGGAAGAAAAAACAAACCAAAAAAGACAAGATATCAACAAATCTTTCAAGGAAACACTTCAAGACCTAAAAACTGAAATAGAGACAATAAAGGAAGCACAATCTGAAGGAATGCTGGAAATAGGAAAGCTGGATAAACAATCAGGAACTACAGAAGTAAGCATAACCAACAGAATACAAGAGATGGAAGAGAGACTCTCATGAGTTGAAAATACACTAGGAGAAATTAGACTCATCAACCAAAGAAAATTTTAAGTCCCACAAATCCCTAACACAAAATATCCAGGAAATATGGGATACTGTGAAAAGACCAAACCTAAGAATAACAGGTATAGAAGAAGGTGAAGAAATCCAACTCAAAAGGCACAGAAAACATATTCAACAAAATCATAGAAGAAAACTTCCCCAACCTAAAGAAAGACATGCCAATGAAAGTACAAGAAGCCTACAGAACACCAAATAGACTGGACCCCCCCACCCCTGCAAAAGAAAGGTCTCCTTGAACATAATAATAAAAACACCAAACATACAGAATAAAGAGAAGATATTAAGAGCCGCAAAGGAAAAAGGACAAGTAACATATAAAGGCAAACCTATCAGAATTACACCTGACTTTTCCATGGGAACTCTGAAAGCCAGAAGGTCCTGGATAGATATTCTACCTATACTATAATCCCACTTTACCAACAGCCAAAAGGAAAAAGGGATGGAAACCCACACGTAATCTCACCACCATCACCAAATCAAAAACAAACAAGAATGAACAATCAATGGTCATTAATATCTCTCAATATTAATGGTCATAACTTACCCATAAAAAGACACAGATTAGCAGAATGGATAAGAAGACAGAATCCA